TGTAGCCTAGACACCAGTGTATGGTATGTACAGTGTACAGATGTGCAACTGTTTCCCGTACAGTCCGGTTCTCTCTTTCAGAGTTGTATACATTTTTATATCGTCTCTCCACCTGCCTCGTGTGCTGTATACCAACATATGCGTGTGTGTTTGTGTGTGTACAGTCGTCCACAAAACAAATAATATTCACCGGTTGCGGTGTTAATTGAATTTATTCAGAAGCTGTGACGCGTGAAACGCGCCTCGCGTCACACACACGCACACACACATTTTAATGAAATATTCCGCAACTTTTGCTGTATGGTTTATTGTTTCGCCACAAGTACGTTCGCAGATATGTGTACGCGTGTATTCACTGAGCAGTAACGGGCGCGTGTGCAATGAATTCAATGCGATGGAAAGCAGTTTACATGTAACTGTATTTTTCTAAAATAATAGTAGGCTAAGTTACTTCTTATTACATCAGCTACCCTAATAAAAAAAGTTCCGTCAAAATCGGTCCACCCATTTCAGAGATTAACCGGAACAAACAGACTGACAGACAAAAATTGTAAAAAATGTTATTTTGGTGTATGTATAGTATTTATATTCATATGCATGTAATAAAAAACGGTTACTACAATATTACAAACAGACGCTCCAATTTTATTTATATGTACAGATTAAATTAAAATATAAAACGCCATTTCAATTAAAAGAACAATCTTCAAAACTCGTCTCAGTATCAAAAATCCTTAGCAATGTGTTGCTAGTATATACATATGTTTAGTTATATACATATGTAGTTAGTGTAGTTTTCCATTTAGTTTCATCGTTTCTCGTTGAGCGCCACTGTGCTGGTTCGGTGTCAAAAGAGGACCGCTCTCTGCATTTAATTAAAAAAACAGCATCCAGTCACAAATGAAAACATATTCATCCGACGCTCAGCGATGTTAATCCGGTTTCCAATTGAAAGGTAAATCTATGTAATTGAATTGTGATCCCGCGAGTGGTGCGTGGCCACTGCGTCGGAGGCTGCGCTCCGGAGTGGGGCCAGGGGGGGCGGAGAGGGGGACAAGGGCCAGTTAAAAAGCCGCCCAGAGCATGTAATTAAATAAATTAATAAACCAGGAAAGGTGTGTTTTGAGTGGCTCACTACATGTAATCATTTAATTTTACTGCTCGTACATTTAATGATAAAAAACATCTTTTGAGAGCTAATATATCAAGGTGCTCTCGGAAACGACTTATTAAAACCTATATCTGGAGTATAGCCTTGTATGCCTGTGATACGTGGACATTGACGCAAAAGGAAAAGCAAACTGGAAGCCTTTGAAATGTGGTGTTGGAGAAGAATGGAAAGAATTAGCTGGAAAGATAAAATAAGGAACGAGGAAGTGCTTGAAAGTGTTAAAGAAAAGAGACAGATCATCGATATTATTGAGAATAGGCGGGGAAAATGTTGGGGCACTTGATACGACACGACGCACTAATTAATAACATTATTAGAGAAAAAATAGATGGAAAGAGAGGAAGGGGAAGGCCGAGACACAGCTATATCAAGCAGGTTAAAGAAAAAGTTGGAGTCGTGTCGTATCAACAGATAAAAGGACTGATGGAAGATCGTGGAAGGTGGCGGGAGCTCCACCGACAAGAGCACAGCTCTTAAATTATGAAGGAATGTACATTTATCGTTACACACGACGGTGCTCCTCAATGTAAGTCGGTAGGTTGTTGATTAGGCAATGAAATGACAGGATAAGAGACATAACATCTGAGTTGTCTGAACGGCAACGCATATCATCACATGGCAACGTGACGTCCGCAGTACCGCTCATGTACATAGGCGACCGTTACCGCTTACTCAATTGTGAGCAATTGCAAAAATAATGGCCAAAGTGTGCAGCAAATACTGCTTAAACGCATATACGTAATTACTCGAAAAAGTCTTGAGATGGTTAAAATTTTTTATGAGTACTCGTATATACAGACACGGCCGGGACCTAATGTAGATACCCTTATAAATATATAAAGCTAGTACATATTTAGTCGGTTACAATTTAGTTGAAGACGTTGGTTCAAAGATTTGTATTTATGAGTATGTTGGTTTGTATCGGTATGGGTGTTGTCTATGAATATTATGTACGTAATAAAAATGGTGTATCTTGGTTATGTTACAAGAGATTACAATGGAACTAACTCACTACTACTACTTTAAGAGTAACACCTAGTGTTCTTTCAAAGAACGCATTAAGAACACTTTTATACATAATAAAGAAAGTGTTTTTAATGCGTTCTTTGATATAAATACCATCCTTTTCTCAGCGATATTGTGAGATAAAAATCCCCGCCTCAGTCCCGCCTAATGACAGCGTAAGTCACTGTTAGTGCATTTTAACCCTAGGCCTACTTGTATACATGAAAATTACCAAGAGCTACGGAAATAATGATGCGGATCTACATAATTTAAATAATTCAGTTCAGTTCAGTTGACAAATTGTTCTATAAAACACATTCTCGTGCGGGCTTAAGAAATGTACAAACCTGTGCACATAGTCATAATCTACCTGCACCTATTTTACTTGTCTGCACTCCGCACTCCGCAGCCACAATTTGAGAAACAAGTACTAGAAGTCCCACGCCAACCGCTACACTACGCCCCTACACATTACTATCATTACATTCTTGTAGTATATAATTAAGTCGCTGTCGCTGTCTGTCCGTCACTATGTATGCTTAAATGTTTAAAAATATGCAATATGCATTATGAAGCAGTTCTTTTTAATAGATGGAGTGATTCAAGAAGAAGTTTTATATGTATAATACATGTACACCCGGGCGACGACAGGTGATTAGCTAGTAAGCTATAAATTAGGAAACAACCTAATTAATTTATGAATACTCATTGAATATCTCATATTATTACTTTCTCTCCAAATTAGAATTAAAAATCTTAATATCTTGAACATACAACCTAATTATTTGACGAGTATTTCAAAGCGTTATCATTTATGAAATTTTCAACTCTGTAACTAAAAGACTAATTTAAAAGTTTCGATCTGTTTCAACACGGGGCGGCCGTGCGGCTGCGGGCGAGTGCGGGAGGCTGCGGGAGGCTGCGGGAGGCTGCGGGCGGGAGCTGGCGGTGCGTGTCCGTGTTTTAATCAACCGCCAGCCGAGCGATTTATTACTGTTTTCATTCTTACTTGGACGATTCTTTTTCGTCAATAAGCGTGGAACTGCTCGGATACATCCATCATTCGTTCCTTTGATAAATTCGAATTTATCATTCACTGCTTGACGGCGGCTGTCGCTTCGCACCGCCGCCCCCCACACCCCACCGTCGAGTTGAAACAGTCCGGTAAACGAAGATTTGGCAGTTTAAAAACTATTAATATCAAATTAATAGTAATTTATTTGTGTCTTTATGATTGAATCGCTTATAAATCAAATTTAATGTAACAATATTTTTGACTACAATTGATGAGAACTGGCTAGAATCTCTTCTGAATTTCTTTTTTATTAAAGTCTATTTTTTACATAGATCTGGATAGGTTTTGATGAAATTCTCACCAGAAGTGGAGTGTAAAAAGTCCAAAGAAGTGGAGTAGTAAGCACTATACAGGGTCACCTATTTCAGTCGCCAAGCAATTTGCTTTGTAAGTTGCGATTAGATAATTAAACTGTCAAAATCTCAGCTGTAAATTTACGAAGACTGCGTACAAGGTCGGGTGACGTTTAATGGACATTGCGAGGGCCTTACCCGTCGCAGTGTAACAGGCCATGTATTCATAAGAACCACAGCCCTCGCGGGCGGCAGCGTGTGAGCGGCGCTACACGTGTCTGTTGTGTTACATGCGCGCGGTTCGTGCTAGGCACCATTTTTATTAAGCAAGTGATCGCCTGTATCCACATTTATACAACGACCACACCGTTGTATACAAACGTAATGAAAAAGATACAGTCGCCTACTTACTGCTTACACAATATAATGATATATTTGTAAATAACATGTCATGAATTGAAATTACCTAAACGATGTTGTGCCTTATTTTCTATTGTATCAGTTCTTATATTCAACCAAATAACTCCTAGTAGTTCCCGAGACTTGTGACTCAGGTATTGGATTTTTTTGTTTGATAATATGTGATAAATGTTGACAAAGTTTAATGTTGGAGTGATCCAACATTAAACTTTGTCAACATTTATCCATACAACAATTAATCCACTTCTCAGTGTTGCCACTTAACCTTTGTTAATTTATTGCCAGTATAGTGCAATATTTCAAATAAAATTTTTATTATAACACAACACATTACTTTGGTAACATTAGTAGTACTACTTAATACTTTTAATTTATTATGAAAAAAATTGTCCTATTTCAAAATACCTACCACTTATTCTTTGTTGAATTCGGGCTTTGAATATGAAAAGTATATTATATTTCCGGAACACGGTGGACGGTAAATAAAACTACATGTTTAGTTCGTAAATCTGAACTCTGTTTATTTGGCGTTCCATAAATAAGGTGGAAACGAGGGACGGGACAGTTCATCAATGATAAACACAATACGCGTCATTATTGCATACAGAGTGAAGGGACATTTCGTTGTGCGCTAATTTCAACATAATAACAATCATCGCTAAGTCTCACTTCCGGGCGGAGCGGCGCCGTCCGCCGCTGTAAAATTACATTAAGTTGAAGAACACATTCGGAACGATACATTTGTATGATTATATTTTAAAAAAAGGAACAGTCGTAGCGCGCTTCGAGTGCGACTGCGCCGGCGAGTCGCCCGTCGGCTCGTCGCGAGCCGCACCACGCCGCGCGGCACCGCACGACGGGCAGCGACGGAACGAGCGCGATACGGCACTGGCGTATTTAAAAAATAACAGTACGTAAAAATCACTTTCACTATTAACATATTCAACGTAACGGAGAACGTAACTTAGTAACGAGGAACAGAGCGACACACAGTCTATAATATCACTCGACGTCGTAACGCGCGCGACGCCGCGCCGCCGCGCCGCCGCGGTTCACCACCGCGCCGCGTCATATGTCACAGAGCCGTCATATATATATACGTATATACACACGCGCGCGCCGCGCACGAGTACGCGAGAGGGGAAGTCCCGGCGCTCCGTCACACCGTGGTCTCGCGGTCCACGTGGATGTACTCGACGGAGCGCTCGCGGCGTCAGGAGGAGGCCGCGGAGGAGGCGCGCGACGCGTCGTACAGCAGCTCCTCGGTGAGGCGGCGGCCGGCGCCCAGCGCGCCCAGCAGGCGCTTGTCCTGGCGCGCGCGCCGCCGCCGCCGCGCCGCCGCGCACAGCAGCGCCAGCAGCGCCGCCGCCGCCGCCGCGCCGGCCGCCGCGCCCGCCGCCGCCGGCGCCGCCAGCGCCGCCAGCAGCCGCGCGCCCGCGCCGCACGCGCCCGCCTCGTCGCCGCCGCCCGGGCAGTCGGGCTCGCCGTCGCACCACAGCGCCGCCGCCATGCAGGCGCCGAGCGCGGCGCACGCGTGCGCGCAGTGCGCGGTGGCGTTGAGGGCGGCGGCGCCGTCGGCGGGCGCGCGCGGCGCCGGCCCGGCGCGCCACACCTCCATCCAGGCGAAGGCGGCGCGGCCCGGCTCGCGCGCCGCCCACACCACCAGCAGCGCCGCGCCCCGCGCGCCGCCCGCCCGCCCCCACCACTCCTCCGTGAACACCTGCACCGTGCGCGCCTCCGCGCCGCCCGGGCACACCGCGCGCACCAGCCTACGGACCACCGATTCATGGATCTACACCTACGACGGCTTCGTCATTAACATACGCTTTATTCGCGTACGTCGACTCGGATACTTGTACCACCGTTGGCTAGAAATGGTGATACAGCAATACACTTGTATGAATACAAATAAAACATTCGAATAGAAATTCGGTCACAAATAGAAAAACCTATCATTTAATTGTATATAACACCTACATAGATGCCAATTCTTCCGCAAGGTACCCGGGTAGGATATACTTTTATGTCTGTTTGTTGATCCAACAATAATGATTGCTATCTCTAAAAAACATATAATTAAGTAGATAGACGTGGGGTATGGTGTCACTCACCTAGAACTATGAGCTTCGTAGACAAGAATACGATTTGAAGTATGACACGGGGGTGGGTCCGAGTTGGGCACCGTAACTGGCATTTCGTCGCCCCACACCCGCAGGAAAACGGAACGATTGCCGCGGGCTGCCAGCAGGAACGGAGTCTCCCCGCACTCAGACATCCTGTTTTCTCTATATACAAAGATTATAGCAAAATTTAGAGAATTTAATAATTGTAATAGAAACCTTAACATTATACTGCACAAAAAATCAGTAGATTTTTTTAAAGGGAATTAAATAATTTTGAGGTTTTTAGAGTTAGACATTAGTGCGACTAAAATATGACTTGTGCTATATACTCTTCAATTTTACTCACGTATATGGGTAAACTAAGTGAACTCTCTGTCCGGGTGGTGGCAATCGTCGCCGCGCAGCGCACGGTGGAGAATGTCCAGAAACTCGAGACCAATTACCCCGGAACTGTATGTGTCTGTGGTCTTCAGCCGGTAACAACGATCTCGCCACCAACTCTATTTCCAGCGCTCCTCCTGCTGATTCCAGTCGTAAAGGTGTACTGCTATTATCGCAGACACATGCTATTGGAACCTGTAACATTTTTTGCGTTACAGAGCTTCTAAATGACTACTTCGATGACACTGTTGTCGCTTATTAGAGGACACTTACCCTGTAACCTGGCCACGGCGACTCATATACTCGAAGATGTGGAATACGAAGTGGGACTTCCATATCATCATCTATATCACTGAGCTCATTTTCAGGTAAATCCGAATCCTCCAATCGTGGTTCTACTGAATCCAGAACACATGTCGATCGTCCGGTGAGTGTATCAGCCCTCGTAGAACACAGTGGTTCGCGACCAAAAGTGGCCGCAGTTAGATCGAGCACGATTCGACCGCTTGATGCTTGTAGTCTATATATACAGCGCAACGTCCGCGCTCCTCCACGTCCAAACCAAAGTGCGTTGCGTGGTGAAGCGAAAGAACCCGGAGTGTTTAGTATACGTGCACATTCAATTGGAACAGCACGGGTTCGCCTTCCATCATCCGGAAATGGAATTCCCTCCAGCCGTGCATCTATGAACTCATAATGAAGTGCAAACGCAAGGGGATGTGTAGCTGTCCCTGGTAAAGAAGTAGCCGCCAAGGATAGCAGCGGCGCGGCTGATACGTATCCGTCAGGTGGTGCGCAGGGCCGTGGTGACCTCGTAGCATTGGCGAGCGCAGCACGAGCGCACAAAGCCGGTGCCGCATCACAATAATGCCCTAATAGTAAGGCACCAGCTTCTCCTGCTCCTCCACCGTCCCAGATTCGCAACTCCACGGCACAAACACCACTCCCTTCGCGGCCCTCGCGCCCCGCCGTCGGGGGTGGCAGTGTCCGTGCTATCGATGGGCCATTACCATTTTCTTCGTCTCGTTCTCCACTTTCAATTCGACGAGGTTCAACTAACGAATAATGTGTAAAGCTGGAGAAGTAAATCCATACTAGGTCCCCTGCAGAAATATTGTTTACTTTATGTTTCATTCATTTCCATAAAACTTAAATAATTATTAAAATATAAGTACCTCCTACAATATACTAACCCGGACGTCCGTGAAAGGTCCATGTACACGTAGTGTTAGGAGGTAACGTATGAGCGGGCGCTCGCAAGCGTCCTCGTCTGCCACGGCCGCCGGCTGCGAGCGTCGAGTTTGTCTCTTCCTCGGACGAAGATGCCTTCACATGAAACTCGCAGCGACGTGCTTCCCTGCAATAAAGGTCTGTATTAAAAACTGAAATATATATATTTATTATTTTATTATTACAAGTCGCCTTAGCAAAGCGTATGCTCGCTAACCTTGCGTAGTCGAGTGAATCGGAATCCGCAAACACCACGTCGACATCTAATTCGAAACCGCGAAGCGGCGCCGCCGGCACGGCCGGCCTCAGCGGAGCGCTGAAGGGCGAGGAATGGAAGGCGACGAGCATCTCGGGCCCGCGCGAGGTGACGCGCGGCAGCCAGTCCCCGCCGCAGTACTCCACCAGCACGGGGTCGTCGGTGGACGCGCCGTCGTAGAAGATCAGCCGGTCGCGCTCGCCCGTGCACTCGCGCCACGCGCGCACCACGCGACCCGTTTTGTTTAGACTACATTAACACATACTACTGTATAAACATAACAATGTAGTTATTACTGATTATGATATGGATCATTGTATTATATATAATTGACATTCCTACAATGATTCATATCAAAATAAGCACTCTTCTTTCTTTTGATACTCGAAGTAGATATAATGTGTCATTTATTTATAGTAATTTAGATAAATAGTTGGAAATCAACGACGAAGAGATTAAACGTGCCCATTGAGTGTAATATATTATATGTTAGTTAGCACACACAGAAAACATAGGTAACTAATGTTAATTACCGCTACATAGCGAGTTACATATGCCGCCGCGGCGCCGCGCGAGTCGTGTACTATTTATATCACACATATCGCTTCTATGGCATATTAACGCGTGGATCACAATAAACGCAGATGAAGTCACTGCCAGCAGAATTTTGTTATTTCAGCTAATATTGTACAATTAGTGAATTGAAGTCTTTATAGTCGTCACTGTAATAATCATCTACGAATAGTAAGAATACCTAATAAATATTTATTCAATCTAATTATGATTAATCTGATTAAAAACAAGCTTAAGCTCTAAATAGTTTTTAGTTCAATTGACACATTATTAAATAACAAATATATATAGTGCCTCTATATTAATAATGGCGGTCATGTGGTGTATGAACAAATACTACAACTCACCTAGCCATAGATATGGAGCGTTTTATTTGCATTTTATGCGAGTACTCCTGACGAACCGAGATCATGGCATGTTTACATGTCGGTATATCCTTTTGTCGCAAACTCCAGTAACAGGTGACGTTTCTGTCGACACAAGTGATACATAAGTCTACGTCATTGCAAATATTCTACGAGTACATATCCATTACGTAGCTTTGTAGAATACGTGCCTCGGGTACATGCCGGGATAATTGGGACTCTGGAGGCGACAAGGCTTCCGATGGCACTCCTCGTAAGTTCGCGTGCAGTAAGTGCCCGGGGACACCGCGCCGCGCTCTATGGGCGCCTCCATCGCCCCGAATCTGTGTGCATACGCAACGTAGAGAAACGGGGCACATTTCAGTGCACGCGATTAATTCATCGATTAAAATGTAATACCTGACTACGGCATCCCTCTGCGCCAGAAACTTATATCGCAACTGAAACCCGAACGGCTCGCCGAGCCGCGCGCGGAACAGCTTGACGGAGACGGTGACGGTGGCCGTCTCGCTGTAGTAGAGCGCGGCGCCGTCCGACTCGCCGCACCACGAGCCGCCGGTGAAGGGCCGGCCCAGCTCCGAGAGCTGCATGTAGCCGTCCGGGCAGCCGTCCAGCGCGCCCGGCTCGTAGCGGCCCACGCGGAACTGGTCGAACGCGAGCTGCACGAGGTCGCCGTGCGCGCCGCCGCCCGCCGTGAACGTCAGGTGGCACAGGAACGGGGCGCGCGGCGCGCGGCGCACGCCCACCGCGTACGCCACGCCGGCGCGGCCGTAGTAGGTGCGGTTGCACACGGTGCAGTGCGGCGGCTCGTCGCTGCCGTCCGCGCACTGCGCCGTCTCGTCGCAGTACGCGTCCAGCCGCACGCACTCGCCGCTGCGGCACGCGAACTCGGCCACGCCGCACCCGCCCGCCGCGCCGCGCGCCGCCGCCAGCGCCAGCGCCAGCGTCGCCAGCACGCGCGCACTCATCGCCGCTAGCGGCCGGCCCGCCGCCGCACGCCCGTCACATGGAGCGGCGCTGCGGGCACACCGCTCGGCTCGTCACACATCACACGTTATCGATAAAGATCACAAACGTCTTCGGGAAATTTATAAGAAACGTCTATTAGCGCGCTTAAATAATATTAAAATAGTCAGAGAGAGAGAGAGAGAGAGAGAAAGAGGTGAAACTGATTATTTAATAGATTAAGTTGAACAAGAAATAGCAGGTTTTGTTTGGGCTTAAGTTCCGCGTTTGATGCTGCAGACCATAGTTTTCTTTTGTCAAAACTTGAACATTACGGTATTCGAAGTAGCTCGTTAAATCTCTTCTATACTTAACAAACAGAAAACAATTTGTAGAAATGTCTAAACTACATAGTTAATCAATGTGAAACCAAGTCTAAAAATGAGAAAATAACAAGAGCTGTACCCCAAGAATCCTATCTGGAACCAATTTATTTTAATGTTTTTATTTTATTTTATTATTTTATTTAATAATCATTTGATATATGAAGAATATTGATCCTGATATTGAATTAAACATTTGGTGACGATACCGATGCTATTATTTCAGGTAATGATAAGAGTATATAGAATATAAAGGTAAATAATGTTATTTAAGTGGTTAAAAATAAATATAACTCAAATGTGACTGACATAGTGATCTATCAACGCACAGCCCAAACCACTGGACGGATCGGGCTGAAATTTGGCATGAAGCATAAGCTCCGCACGCATCCGCTAAGAATTTTAATTAGTTTTACCCCCAAGGGGATAAAATAGGGGATGAAATTTTGTATGAAACTTTGTCAATTTTAAACCGATCGGGCTGAGACTTTGCATACATAAAGCTACTATGACGTAGGCATCCGCTAAGAAAGGATTTTGATAAATTCCACCCCTAAGGGGATAAAATAGGTAATGAAAGTTTGTATGAAAGTTCTGTAAAGCTGCAAAAACTATACCTAATAATAGTACTTCTTAACACGAGCGATGCCGCGGGCAAAAGCTAGTTCAATATAAATGACGCAGCGACATCTAGTTCACTTGAAACTATTGTATTCTACAATTAACTATATTAGCGTAAATAATGAAGGAGTCTAAATAGAAAGTTCTGAGGAAACAGCTATAAATATAATATCAGCCGAACTTTCGGTATACAAAAAAGAGCTATACGAACAATGCTACGCACATGCGTGGGAATCCGGCGAAATATTACTATTCTTTAAAAAATATATAATTTAAAATGAAACAGTGGAAAACAGATCGATGGTGAAGTATACAAGGAGAAGAGAGAAGAAGAGGTCAGTTGAGTCCTACTTATAACGTAGTGGAGGACTATCCGCGTTATCAAATTCAAAAATCACTTATTCATGCAGGACATTTTAGGCGCTTATGAATGTCAAATTTTTACATTATAATTTTCTTTTTCCCTACCGTGCGTCGTAGCATATATCAAGCACATAATAATTTGTACGTGGATATAAAGGAGCACTTCAGTATGTCAATAATAAATTAATATTCTGTTTACTTAACAAAAAATATTATTGTTTAGACCAATATTTTTTTTTGTTTTATATTTATGTTCAAACAAAATACTTTTATTATTTATGAATAAATAAATGACTATGACTCAGGGGTTCCAAGACCAAATTTAAAAAACCAGGACCATCCAGTTTAAAAACAGAACGCAGTAATAGTGTTGCAATAGTTATATTAATATATTGTAAAATTCAAGTAATTAATATAATCAGGGTTTTAATAAAAAGTATTTAATAAATTATAATGTTAAAAAACAATAATTAGGAGACGCGCATATTTTTAAAAACCCAGGTCGCTGAAAAATATCTATTGAGGAGTTCCGAGGACAGTTCAAGAACTAGGACATGTACTGGGACAACAGGACGGTTGGCAACTCTACTATGACTAATACTGTATTACAATTTGTGACATAATCGCGACCTGTAGGTGTGTACCTGTCTGTGTGCTCAATATAACACTGTTTCAGTAGTCTGTACTACTACCTGCTATTTATTATATAAATCAACACTTGTAAATTATTATAACGTGATTAGGAAATTTAAATGTGTCTTCTTTCTTTCGTCAATACATACATAACATTATATCTGTCATGCGAGATTATAAACTTATACCGTCTTATTATTAAACGCGAACTAATATGATAGACTTGAGAATACTTTCAAATTACTATCTGCTGGTAGGCCCCTCACTTAATAGTGTCATCAGTCTGGAGAATTTCACGTGTCCGAATTAGACAACTGAAATTCTTTCGATTTATATTATTTACTGCAGTTGGTTCCTTATGATTTAAGACCAAAAATAAATGGTAATAGGTATGATCTATTGAATGTTTTGATTTTTGTATATTTATCCTCTCTGTCAATCTTGTGCGCTGCAAAATTATTCACGTGTTTTTTACGTATACTTTTGACACAATCGTCGTGTTGAATATGAATACATAAACACTGTCAGTCACGGACGGGCTTTCACACGTGACAGCGTGTTCATTGTGATAATTTCAACATCACTACATACTACTAACTACATACACACTAACATATTATAAAATTAGCACAGATTATAAAATTAGGACAAGAACGAGAGTACAGCATCAAATAACGAGTTTACACAAAATATATACACGGGTAGATATTAGAGGTGCCAACTACACCTACAGTTTTAAAAGGGTGTATAATACCCTTTTGACTTGTTTTTTACTAAATTATACTTTTTACTGTTGAACAAACATAAAGTACACAGAATACTGTTTTCAACATCAAAATGCAATCACATTATTATGTGTTATACTTAGATGTTCACACAAATTTGTTTTAATTTAGTCAACAGGGCGCTCACCGCTCAGTGCAGCGCAGCAAACAAACATACAGATAAAAATATAGATAATCTAAATTTGTGTAGACTTAACATTGGTATGGATTATTTTTATTTAAGAATTAACAAATTTCAAAGTAACTTATGAAAAAAAAAAAGATATCAGAACACACAGATTTTCTTGAAATGGGTACAAATGTGGTCAAAAGTGGATCCATTTATTAGTTAGTAAACAGTTCAGAATAATTTAAAAACATAACTTCAAATTGTCTCATATTTACTTTCTGTTTCCGCCACATCATCACTTACTGAAAGAGTTTTTTCAGTAACGAATGCTGATGGAAATAGAGCAAATACTAATACACTATTCATTTAATAAAAAAGAGCTCCTCATTTATTTTAATATCAATTATATCTGTGATGAGGCGTATGAAGTTTTTAAAAAACATTGTAAGTTAATTTGTTGTGCGAGAAGTTGTAAAAATACATTTTTAAAACAATAAATAAATAAAATACTGTACATTTTTCTAAAATACTGTTTAATATTCTTCACAGACTTGAATATACTTCATTTGTTGTAAAAAACTTGGCGAGCCTAGTAGATATATTCTTCGATAATAATTATATTTTATCGCTTCATTCTCGATATAATAAACAATGTAGTCCTTTTAGCCTACAAGGCAACTTCGCACGTAATTAGTAAGTCAATTGACTTAAATTTTATTTCCCCCGATGTTACCTGTGGGTATGCATTACAACTTTCTTCATTCTTTTTCCGTGCGAGGCAACGAACGCACGCAGACCTCTCAGTTATTAAAATTAAATTAATTGATAATGTCTAAACGTAGTGCTGAGGAGAAAATAAAATATTATAATGCTAAAATAAAGAAATTAGAAGACAAGTCGAAGAAACGTCGCCGAGTAATCGTTTATTCATCTTCGGATTCTGAACATGATTCAGGTATGTACTTTTGTTAAGATAACAACTATTTTATTGGGACTGTCTGTAAATGGTAAAATCTTATAATTTATAAATTAACCTGGGGGTTAACCGTGAGTTAACACGAAGGTAATTCATTGCTTGGAGGTTAACCGAGAGTTAATACGAAAGCAATTTAATGCTTGGAGGTTGACCAAGAGTCAACACGATAGTCAATAATTTTCACTTCACTAAGTTTTAACCAATCGTAAAACCTACCCGTTAAAAATAAAAATAAAAATATTTTTACAGACAAAAATTTATTAACATCTACCGACAATATCATATTAGATGAACATTGTGATGCTGGGATAGAACCTGAAGAAACGTTAACGGTTTCCCAAGATGTACCTCAATCCAGTGAAAAATTGTCAGAATTAGATCCTGAATTATTATCTGCTTTAGGAGAGCCAGGAGAAGATGTTCCTGTCTATGGCCAAAATATACATCCCGATTTAGCACAAAGATGGCTTCCTATTTTACGGAAAGGATTAACAAAAGAAAGTAAGGATAAACTGCTTAAAGATTACGTAGTACCGGGTAATTGTAAACAATTACGAGCCCCTACTTTAAATCCTGAAATTACTGCTGCTATCAGCGATCCAGCAAGAGCTAGGGATAAGAGAATCGAATCGGGACAGCGACAATTAGGACTTGGTATAACAGCCATTAGTAAAGCAATGGGAATTCTCCTAAGTAGTGAAGACAAACAAAATAAAATACAATCCATAAAAATTTTATCAGATGCTTGCCGCATTCTAACTGATTTGCATCAATCTGAAACGCAGTGTAGAATTAAAGCGATAACTCCCGGCCTAGACAAATCATTCCTTGGCGTTGTCCAGAAAGTGGAGAGCGATGAATTTCTCTTCGGTATAAATCTAGCTGACAGAATTAAGGCGTCTAAGACTATTGAAAAACAAGGAATGCAAATTAAAAAGACAATGTCTACCTACAAAAACCACACTGCTTCTACATCCCAATATCAAACGTCGACACGGTCACGTTTTCAGGGAAACTGGACGGGCCCTCCTCGCTTCCAGCAGTCGAGCAGGGGGGGGCGAGGAACAGCACACAGAACGAACGCTGCAGCACGCCGTACGACGTCGAACCACAACCTGTCGAGGCCGACGAGTTACAAACAACGTGCCCCAAC